AGACTACAGGGAAAATTTTATAAATTTTAATAAATGCCAAATATAGATAATATTATGTACATTTTTCAATTTATTCCTCAATCTCATTAGTCAAGGTGGGTTGGGGGCATTCACCTCTTAATGTATATAGGCTCTATGATTCCGCACCAGGCGGACCACAGACCTTCACCGTCATCTACACATAGACAAACATAATATTCGGCCACTCTTTTCTTCTATAAATAAAATATATCTTTTTAGATAAAATGTCAGTACAATAATAACGGATTTTAAAAGTAATAATTAAAATCATAATATATTCATACTATACACAACGTTACATAATATATACTTATAATATATTATTTAATTACATTTTTTTTATATAATATATAATTTATCACTATGGAAAATATCACCGGAGTTGACTAATTACAATTCGCAATTTTAAGGACACGAAATATATATATATTTTTTTAACTCGGTTCACTAAATCAAAATTAAACTACAGATGATACAGTAAAACCATATCAATACATTATGAAAAATGGCTCATATTTTGTTCTAGCATTTATCACTTATTTTCGACTACAGAAGTTGATCAACAGAGAAAGGATGTCACGAGACAGAAAAAGGAATGAAAAAGTACGACAAAAAATATGCACAAATTTAACAAACATCACGATAATAATGTAAAATAATGAAACCAACGCTAATACTTATACCGTAGATATAATTCTATAAATACACAAAGACCTACTTTTAAGTGTCAGACGTATTTAAAGGCTTCAATTTTACATTCGCTAATAAATATATGTCTATACTATTCTTATATTCATCTCGTTACACATTACACATAAAATACGCACAAAACCTGTAGCTTGGCGTTCGTAAATAACCTACAAATATTATAAAGAAAAAACAAAAGGTATCATGATTGATAAAGTTACACATTAAATTTGCTATTAAACTCCTCTATTGAGTTTTTCACTTTTGTGTGTGTGTGTGTGTGTGTGTGTGTGTGTGTGTGTGTGTGTGTGTGTGTGTGTGTGTGTGTGTGTGTGTGTGTGTGTGTGTGTGTNTTTCAAGCGCACGTCAAGTGAAGACTCGAAAACAGGCCAATTGGGACGTTTCGTCTTTAGTCGCGTCTAAACAAATGCAATAATAATATAACAAGTGCAATCGTTCCAATTATAGCTATCTTTTTTACTCACGCGCTTATCCCATCTTTTGTACTTTTCATTAATGCTACTTGTCAACACGTGTGTGCACTATAGCGGTAGGTATGTAGATATATATGGCGCGATCAGATTTGAAGAGTCAGTTACTATGAAGATAACATATCTGTTGTATAAAAAATCATTGGTTCTCTGTTTACAATATTGAAATTCTTTCAAAAGCAACGCCTTTAACTTATCTGCTTTAACTGCATTTTATGTTAAAAATAAGAGGTGTGTTTCAATTTGTGAAAACAATTTTAACGCTATAGTATTTTCTTCGGTGTCAGTCTTGAACACAATTAAAACAATTTTTACGTCACCCTCTCTCCTGTTACACCAAAAGTGTGGAGGGTAGAGGTAAGGAGGATCACCCAAGAGTGTCCGTTTATAAACAAAGTTATTGTTGGAAGACTCACCTATGTAGCGTTAGTGTAGGAAATGAAAATAATTTGAATATATCAATTTTAAACAGTATGCTAGTTTAAAGAATATGTTTTTCGTGACAAATATGCAGTATTTAAAACTTCAAATATTTATTTTGATTAATATTTACGTAGAAAGTGTTTCTTTCCTTCTTAATTTAGTATCCTAGTTTCATAGTTTATAGCGCTGTTTTTTTAATCTTTCCACTTGTTACTATGCGGCCACCTTAATTTTTCCCTTTTCAGCGGACCCTTTTTAATACCTAAGATTTTAAGCTTAACTTTTAAGACCTTTTGTAATGGATATGAGTCGTCTATTATCAAAGGTGGCAATCTGTGCATTTGGACAAAACATTTTTATTGATATGTCAATACAGATTTATTTGAATACAGTCAAAATCTGTTATAACGACATCGAAGGGACTGCTCATATTCAGTCGTAAAAACCGATAGTCGTAACAACCGGTGATGTTTAATGTGTATCGTGCAAGTACAAACAAATCGATAGGGAATTATTGGAAAAATAAATTTACATAATACGCGATTTTTCTTCAATATTAATTTGTTTTCTTTTTCTTTGCGACATTTTGAAAGTTTCACGAATAACTCCACAAAGTTTTGGTGCGTCTTGTGTATAGATAAGTAACAAACTAACTGAATAGATATGAAGAAGCGGACTTTGACTCTATTGCATGCACGTGTTTTGTTTCTAAGAATTAGAAAAGACCCTACACTAAACTAAATCCTATTGTTTTCTTTCCTGATTTTAATAGCCGTTGAAGACAGATGTGGATACCTATTCAAATTGTTTACAATACAGCTTAGCCGGTCGTTCTAACAGATCTAATTCTCCGAAATATTAGTTAAATGTGGTCGTTTTATGAGGTATGTCGTTATAAGCAATGTCGTAGAAAGCAATATTTTTAATAAGGCAGTCATATGGCATTCAGCCGGGACCTTTGTTCTAGGTTATTATAACCGGCATGTTGTTCTAAACGATGTAGCAGTAAACGGTTTTGACTGTATAATCGTCTCCTTCAAAGAATACGGTTCAAAACCTGCATTAAATAAAGGTTAATAGTTAACCTGTTATTTATCTAAGATGTCGTTCCGAAGAGTTTTGTGACTGCCAATGGAATACAAAGTCAATAATTCGTTTTTCTGATTTACCAATCATTGTCCAAAAGTCAGATTGCCGCCTTTGATAATAGTCGACTCATATCTAAGTCGTTCGCGATCACAGCGTTTGTTAAATGATCGAAACGTCAAAATAACGTCAAACGTCAAACGACAAAATGAGATAAAACAATATGTCGAAACCAATAAAATTACATTCCAATTAATTTGAACACTTTTTTTTTTTGTTTCTTCCAAATCGATAATTGATATACAAATAATAATATGCCTGTAAACGCATACATATAGAATATACGGCAAAAAAATATAAAAAATATGTAACTCTAAGCTACGGCTAAACTTGTACCTACTGAAGACTATTTCTAAAATGAAAAATGTAAAAATTTAAACATCCTAACTACTGATTCACGGTTACTTACAAAACATCTAGCAGTTTCTAGCTTGACTACATGTATAGTTTAACTTTTTGAATTATTCTCAGCCGAAAGCGTGCGTTACCATTAACCCTTTGCACTCGAGAAGCGAGTAGCGCTCATCACATGATTTAATGTCAAAAAGAACGATAAGAACAGACATCAAAAACATAAGATCAGTCAATCATCAAATAAAATAAACTAACATAAATAGTTTACACGGCGCATCGAATTTCCTCACCGGACAAAGTGGTGAGCAAGAATCATCTCTCGAGTTGAGGCATTAAATAATGTGGTAAGCGACACTCACCTCTCGAGTGTAAGGAGTTTATATACAAAGGCACAACGGCGCGAGTAACGTTTCTATTAAATATAATAAAATAGCATGCAAAAGGACACCTTTATACCGAAAAGAATCGATAATGACAAAAAAAGAAGTGAATGACGATAAATTTCGAATAAATACCAAAAGGAGTGAATCAGCCAATGAATGAAAAGCGTGTTCAATTTAAATAAGTATTTATTTGAATACATTTTTTTTTTTATAAATAAAATCGATTTTAAATTAATCGAAATCCTTATACTATTTGCGGGACGGTTCTGCCCTTTCGCGGGCACAGTCTCCATCTCTCAGTCTCGCGGGCCATCTCGACGCTAAAATATCAATACACATAATATTCATTCAATTTTTTTATATATATATATAATAACGTACATTAGTATAAACAGGAAGAAGGTAACAAAAGCAAATATAGAGAACGCTATTTATAGATATTAAGAGAGAGGCATGCTTAGAGANATATAATCGTCTCCTTCAAAGAATACGGTTCAAAACCTGCATTAAATAAAGGTTAATAGTTAACCTGTTATTTATCTAAGATGTCGTTCCGAAGAGTTTTGTGACTGCCAATGGAATACAAAGTCAATAATTCGTTTTTCTGATTTACCAATCATTGTCCAAAAGTCAGATTGCCGCCTTTGATAATAGTCGACTCATATCTAAGTCGTTCGCGATCACAGCGTTTGTTAAATGATCGAAACGTCAAAATAACGTCAAACGTCAAACGACAAAATGAGATAAAACAATATGTCGAAACCAATAAAATTACATTCCAATTAATTTGAACACTTTTTTTTTTTGTTTCTTCCAAATCGATAATTGATATACAAATAATAATATGCCTGTAAACGCATACATATAGAATATACGGCAAAAAAATATAAAAAATATGTAACTCTAAGCTACGGCTAAACTTGTACCTACTGAAGACTATTTCTAAAATGAAAAATGTAAAAATTTAAACATCCTAACTACTGATTCACGGTTACTTACAAAACATCTAGCAGTTTCTAGCTTGACTACATGTATAGTTTAACTTTTTGAATTATTCTCAGCCGAAAGCGTGCGTTACCATTAACCCTTTGCACTCGAGAGGCGAGTAGCGCTCAACACATGATTTAATGTCAAAAAGAACGATAAGAACAGACATCAAAAACATAAGATCAGTCAATCATCAAATAAAATAAACTAACATAAATAGTTTACACGGCGCATCGAATTTCCTCACCGGACAAAGTGGTGAGCAAGAATCATCTCTCGAGTTGAGGCATTAAATAATGTGGTAAGCGACACTCACCTCTCGAGTGTAAGGAGTTTATATACAAAGGCACAACGGCGCGAGTAACGTTTCTATTAAATATAATAAAATAGCATGCAAAAGGACACCTTTATACCGAAAAGAATCGATAATGACAAAAAAAGAAGTGAATGACGATAAATTTCGAATAAATACCAAAAGGAGTGAATCAGCCAATGAATGAAAAGCGTGTTCAATTTAAATAAGTATTTATTTGAATACATTTTTTTTTTTATAAATAAAATCGATTTTAAATTAATCGAAATCCTTATACTATTTGCGGGACGGTTCTGCCCTTTCGCGGGCACAGTCTCCATCTCTCAGTCTCGCGGGCCATCTCGACGCTAAAATATCAATACACATAATATTCATACAATTTTTTATATATATATATAATAACGTACATTAGTATAAACAGGAAGAAGGTAACAAAAGCAAATATAGAGAACGCTATTTATAGATATTAAGAGAGAGGCATGCTTAGAGAAGACCGAGAGAGAGAAAGATAGAAGAAAAAGAAGCCTGTAAGAAATATACAGCACACAGACGTTATTAATACGGAATATAAGATATTAACCCTTTGAGCGCGAACCGTCGACAGATCGACTCTATATTAATGCGTATAAAGTGCAGAGAGTCGGAATACAGACTTGAGCAGTTTGATTATAGGTATTAAGTATCGACCTGCACTAACGTGTCTTAGCGCGCGTGTGTATAACTTTTTTAATAACTTAATAAAGTTTATAAGTAACAATTTTAAATTATTTTGTTATAAGTTATAAGTTTGTTATAAGTTAATGCTCTTTATAAGGTAGGTTTTTTTTTTCCACAAATCCTTTAACAATTTCTTCAAAATATATGAAAATAATCTCAACACTAAAAGAGTTAATATATTTTTGTGTTAGTATGTACCGTATCCTTTGCTTGCTAATTAATGTGTCCGAAGATCTCCAATGTATCGTGTATCACATTCTACCAACTAAAAGCGAAGGCTGAGGCAAACGTAAAACAAAATAATAATAATAATAATAATTAATGAGAGTTTTAGAGCTATATAAAATAAATCCCATACTATGCTCCTTTCTTAGCTCATGCATGGGTCAATGGTCTACGTTTCTTAGTCAACCAGGTCAGATGACTTCTTCTGCTGCCCCGAATTTAATAAGGATTAAGCGGGGTATCTTTCAGGGCGACAGTCTGAGTCCTTTGTGGTTTTGTTTGGCGCTTAATCCTTTAAGTACANTATCCTCGATACTGCACGCATTGTGAGGAGGTTTCTCACTCTGGAGTCCTAACCACTGGTGGCTTGTGTCGTAGACACCGCCATCAGCGGCAATCTATTTTTATATAGTGTTTTTTAAAAATTGTATTTTTAATATCTTTTTTAAAAAATATTATGTAATTAATAAGATTTTAAATAAATATAAATAAATAATAATTAAAAAAAAAAACAAAAATAATTGTTAAAAACAAAACAGTTTATTGTGCATAAAACATACTTACAAAATATGAACATTATTATCATTTTTAAAGTAGTTTATCAGTCTTGTGTGTTGTATATAGATTATAACGTAACAATAAATGCATTTTTAAAAGCCATTTATTAATTAATATCTTCAATTGAAAAGAATGGATTTTTTTTAATATTCAAATTAACCACCCTTGCGTAAACAAACCGCGCATTCTCTTGAGTCTATATACTTGAAAACGAAAGAGTACAGAGGATCGCAGATGAGATAATTAAACAAATAATTAATAACCATTTAAAAAAAATTACGAAGAATTATTATAAACAAGAAAAACACATTAAACGACTAAAGACGTTTTTTTTTTTTAATGGACTTAAGTTTTGGCACCGTGGAATCCGTGCACGACTAGTGTTTTGTTTTGACAAAAAAAAAAAAAACTTTCAAAAACTGACAGTATCGTTTTGCGTTGCCCAAAAAGCAAACGGCTTTCTTCATTTCACTTTATTATACACATAGCAATCAGCTCGATAATTGGCACAGTCATACAATTTCAATATTCGAGTTTCCAATTCGTGGCTTGCAATAGCAAAACCCGTGCTTCCATAGTTCAAGCAAGCTCTAGAGATGAACAGTATTAAAACGAGTTGTGTAATAATTTGTTTAGTCTAAGGTGACTAATGTAAGAAACAAAAACGTTTATAAAAAAATAAGTTTATAAGTATATATCCTCAAGGTATGCGCGTGTCGCTAAAGGGCTGCCGAAGATTCTCGTCTGACCTGGAGCGCGTGATGCCCATGGACTCGTAGCCATGGGTGTCCTGGGGGCTCGTGAACGTCTGCAGCTGGTGTTCGCGACGTACCGGATATTCGCAGCCGTCGCCGAGGCTGATGAAACGATCATCAGTTTCAGAATGATTTGTTCGAGTCCACTGCCACTTATCGGAACATACGACTACGTAATATAAATTTTTTTTATTGCTTAGATGGGTGGACGAGCTCACAGCCCACCTGGTGTTAAGTGGTTACTAGAACCCATAGATATCTACAACGTAAATGCGCCACCCATCTTGAGATTTAAGTCCTAAGGTCTCAGTATAGTTACAACGGCTGCCCCGCCCTTCAAACCGAAACGCATTACTGCTTCACGGCAGAAATAGGCAGGGTGGTGGTACCTACCCGTGCGGACTCACAAAAGGCCCTACCACCAGTAAAAAACCAACCAGTAAAAAACGTACGTACTCAATGTGTATTCATTTAAAGAAGCTTACGGCCCATCTCATACTAAGCGATCCTAGTAGCCCATAGCTCATAGAAGCGGTAAACGTGCACCTTAACGTATAATATTCAAGTCATAATAACTAAGTTGACTGATGTCGTGTTTCTTAAGAACAAAAGCTATTAGTGACGAATACAATTAAATACGTGTGTTGAAGAAATAAATTGGCTAATAAACCCCCGGGGTATATTAAAGTTTCTGGTGAAGTTTTAGATGGGGACGCTGTCCGGTCCGCGAACCAAGTGTACTAGTTCTAAAGCGCTATTGCACGATGACGTCACTGTACAAAGTGATGCACTCTGGCTAAGATGGAATTAAAACGCACAAAAATCACTCGGTTCTTTTACAGACTTCATGTTTATTTTCATTGAACAGTTGTACGATTGTTAAGATTTTTCAGAAAAAAAAACTTCTTCATCTATTTAAATCGAGTAAGCTTAATTGAATTCAATTAAAAACACTAAACTGTTGATGCTAATGCCAAATAAAACGCACCTTTAATTACAGAGATAAAGCGAATTATCGATTCGAAGAATGAAGAAAGAATCGCATCGCGTATTAAGCGGAAATGTCGCTTAACCCCAAATATAGCCTTTCACCCCATCGATATGATGAAAGTAGAGAGAATGTTTCAGAGAAATTTCCGAGCGTACAATCAATCACTAGTTAACAGATTTTTCGTCTAAACTTTAGCTACTAATCAAACCTAACCTAACCTAACCTAAGCTGATGCACAGTTCGTATTTCGATAAGTCGCAGTAGACCTAAAACAGAATTTTCGTACCAAATTTTACACCAAGTTTTAATGTTCGTATTCATATGCACGGTATAATTTATATTCATCAATTTCAATTTAAGTTTATACTATAGATACATAGATGTTTTTTTTATCACCTTTAAAAACAAAACTCCAGTCTCATAATATTATCAGAATGAAGTGGTAAGATTAGTAAAAAAAAAAGATTCATGCGAGAAAATAAATATAAGAGAATTACATTGCTTTATGTGTCATTAAATTCTGAATTTGATAAAACAATGCTAAAATATATACGACTTTAGTAAATTAGTAATAGGGTCTAAAACTATTACACTAATATATAATTAAATACTCAAATATTAAGACACCAGTTAAAATAGTTTCCATGGAAATCGTGTAAATGTAATAATGCATATTAATAATAATTAAATACGTAATAAATGATTTAATGAAATGAAATGATTTATGATCCTTCCGGTTATAGTTACAGCAATATATACATCAACACTATTAAAAAAAATATTAGGATCTAATAGCGTTAGTAAAATTTATTAAAAACATTAGGGTGTCTAAAACTTGACAGTTCTATGAACTTCTTTGTTAGATATTGTCATTCACTTCTTTTTTTTTTTTAAACACACGCATTTGTTATCATGCACACATCAATCCACAGATCGCTAAAACTATACACGTTAAATCCTTTTTTCCTATTGATCATGTTAATAGCCCCATGCTTTTTACGATATCTGTGCCGAAAAACACGGTTTGCGCCAACCGTCCTTTGAGCCTGACAATCCATAGACAATTTCATATGTCAATTTGACATTTATTATTTTGAATTAAAATCGAAGCTTACCTTGTGAATACAGGCACCAACCAGAGGTTCGGACTATTACCGAACACTTCCTTGAAGTTTTTGAAAGCACCAATTGAGAAGCCATTTTTGTCGGCGCCGCCTCGGAACATCGGCGCTCTAAACGCTTCTGAAATTATTATTTTTAATACAGTTACATGCATTTAATTAAAGGACGAGTTAACGGTCTTCCCGATACCGTCGTGTTAAGGGCATAGGAAGAAAACATTTACAGACACAGTAAATCCATTCGTAGGTAGGCGAGGGCAGAACGATGAAAGACTACGTATTTCCTCCGAAATGCCTCTTGAACTTTTTTAGAATCGTTTCGGCCAAAACCACGGGGAGCATAAGTAGAGGCCCGAGCAAACACATTAAAGAAAATAAAAAACTATAATAACCTAAATATATATTTAATTGTAATTTTTATATTTAACGAAATTTTAATAAATCTAATATATTTACGTCACTGCAAAATAACTACATCAGAGATAACCACTTTTATTTCTATTTGATTTTTAAACAAATGATAAAAGCAAATTAGAAAATTAATACAAACGACTCAAGATTAGATTTTATCTCAACGAACTACGGTAAAATTGATTGATATCAAGTATACGATAAAAAAAAAACTAATGAAATATACTAATTTCGATCAGTACTTAACACAAACCGTACTGGGTTAAAATTGACTGCAATTACCGTGAACCAAATTCTTAAGCATTATTCGTATAAAACTACCGCCGTGCGTGTTCAAACGACGATTGTTTATGAGCATATCTGAAAATAATATAGTTAATGAATATATACAGACAATAATTACAAATCAAGGTAATCAGTGATTGCAGTCAAATCTTATGGAACCAACTTAATTAAAAATAACAATACATAAATGTGTTGTACCCGTACACATCACATTAAAGACGCTACCTTGAGCCACAAAGTACCTACATGTCTCAAATATTATATAATAAAACGGTTGTCTCTTTCAAACTGTTATTAGCAGTGAATACACAATGATTTAAAAAAAAAACGACCTAGTAAAATTGCTCTGCAGTGTACACTTAAATTACGGAACGGAATAGTGCGGAGAACCAGATGACGCATTACGTTACAGGTCACTCTAGGTTGTCTTATTATTTTGATATATTCAGATTTGAACAACTTAACGTAGATTGACTTTACAGAAATGTAATGATCAAGATTTTGAAGGCTACACAACACACACACACACGCGCGCGCACGCACGCACGCACACGCACGCACGCACGCACGCGCACGCACGCACGCACGCGCACGCACGCACGCACACGCACGCACTCGCACGCACAAGCACACACTCACACGTACACACGCACGCACGCACGCACGCACGCACACGCACGCACTCGCACGCACACGCACACGCACGCACGCACGCACGCACATACATATATAAATTTCTTAATATAAATATCGGAACTCACCTAAAGTTGTTCTATTATTGACGACGAGGTAACAATGGTATCCGAATAAGGAACCCAGAGATATCGCGAACATTAGCGACACGAAAAAAGCGAATATGATGTGATAACGACCACTCGATGTCGCTGTACCGAAGTCGCCCTGTAAACATTTTGATCATTTAAGAGTACAGTAAAAGCATTATTGGCGTAGTGGTCAGCGTTCCTGCTTGCTGGACCGAGGGTCGCGGTTTCGTTACTCACTTCGAGAAAATATTCGTGTTACGAACTGGTTTAGTTGCTTGTTTGGGTGTCGAATCTATATATTATGTACTAGCGACCCGCCCTCGGTTCGCTTCGGAAACATGTAATTTTATTATTGATTATTTACGACATCACATTAGAAACCTCAAAAATAACAGTATTTCTCCACTATTTAATGGATGTTATTATACATATAAACCTTCCTCTTCAATCACTCTATCTATTAAAAAAAACCACATCAAAATCCGTTGCGTAGTTTTAAACCTCCACGGGTTTTAACCCTCCACGGTGTTTCCCGAGCGCTATGACATGTCCTTCTTCAAACGAGGCTTGTGGCGAGTATTAAGCGCTAGGCAGCGGTTTGGCTCTGCCTCTGGCATTGCTGAAGTCTATGGGCAACGGTAACCACTCACCATCAGGTGGGCCGTATGCTCGTCTGCCTACAAGGGCAATAAAAAAATAAAAGAAACTCTTCGTCGTGATCAACGTGTTCGACGAGGACAGTGACAGGTGGTTGAAGAGCCTTAAAGCTTAAAGCTCCAAGAGTGGATCCGGGGGATCCGACACGACATATTTCGGGCGACGGCGGCTTTGCATTGCCCCTTCGTCTGGATCGGGTATGTCCAAGTACCTAACTTCCTAGTATTCCTCATACCGAGTGTCAATACTAATGAAACTCGAGCAGTCAATTACATTTCATAAATTAAAGATTTATTATATCTACATAATTATCAGTAAGTACTTAATTGGAAATGACGCATAAGTAAGTTAGTAACTATATCATCGATACTCTAGATTAAAAACTCAAAACAAAAATATACAAGACATTCCCACTGCGAAATGCACAAAACTGATCAACTAATTAATATAATATATTTATAGTACTTTTTTTTAATCTACATGCGAATCTTATCTAAGGTGTACAGTAAGGAATTTAGGCTACAAGATATGACTCATTATACCGTACACATTTCAGTTAAAATTGGAGTGAACTGTAATGTAAGTTAATGTAACACATCAGCTTATTACCCGATTCTTTGTAGCGTACACGGGTGACCATACTCACGGTCAATCTGGTCGTAGGGCGTCTGGTGAGACCGCACGAATACCACCGCTCTGCCTATTTCTGCTACGAAGCAGTAATCCGTTTCGGAAAACTAAGACTTAGAGCTCATGTATAAGGTGGGTGGTGACATTTATGCTGTCGATGTCTATGGGTTACGGTAACCAATTACCGGCTCACCTAAGTGGTACTACGAGGTAAATGTCGAATACCGACACACATCTTGGACGCCACGTGTTTTTTTTCCCTACCTAATCGTTGGTAGCCTAAGTGGCTATTCCAACTCCACGCGGACTGGTGAACTCACGAGCTCAACCTAAGAGAATTGCTAACACTAGCCCTAGCAAGAGCAGTGCATCGCTGAATCTATTACCGGATCGGAATCGCAACCCACTGAGAAGAATCGGCGAGAAACTCAGTGGGCTGTGTCTATGGGCTAGTTCACACGTCAAACTCGACGAGTTCGATGAGAACGGTGAACGGTGCTTGAAGAGGCTAAAAGCACCAAGAGTGGATCTGGGGGATCCGACAAGACATGTACGCCAGGTTTCAATCGAATTAGAAAAACGGTCATGTCCTTCAAAGAGACGGTAGGCAGTGGTTTGGCTCTGTCCCTGGCACTGCTGACGTCCATGGGCTACTACTACTCACTCTACTACTCTCCATCAAGTGGGCCGTATTCCCATCTGCCTACAAGGGCAATAAAAAAGAGAGAAATGCGAGAAGCATGAAATAGTAAGAATATTGGTCCTAAATCATGGGGTCCACACCACCAGTGTTTCACATTAATTATTAATTAGGAAAATAAAGTAAATAACTACACAGGCAACAAAGTAAATAACTATACAAGTTAATATGTTCCAATCTCGCTCTTCATCGGCTGACCAAATATTGGCCGACATCCATCCGAACTTTTGTGTTCCTTCCTTCCTCATTCCACATTCCCCTCAATTATGTACCAATATTATAAATGAGAATTTATGTATATTTGTTGTTCAATCACGCAAAAGTGACTAAACAGAAATTGAGTAAATTCCGCACAAGCGTAGTTTAAAAACTGAGTTAACACATAGGTTACTTTTATTTGCTTATGTATTGTAATTTATTTAAAACAAAATAAATTTTGATGCAAAATCGGCCTATCCTTAGTTTCATCCATAGATAAAAGATGCCTTTGTGAACATCATTTTAGCGCGTATTTTTTTACCTACGAAGTATTGTAAAGGTAAATTCGAACCACATTATCTCCATACTAACTGTGGTAAGCTTAGGCCACTTTTGCGCTGACGGCCTCATATCTACAATCGAAGTTTATTGATCAGAGAGACAGACACAAGAACCCATTTTCATTCATTCATTCATTCCGAACTGAAAATTTAAAGTCTATTTGAAAATTAATTACGACATTTCTAATATAACGCTGAATCTAATTTTAGAAGCTCCAAACTATTAACCTAGTGATCTTGCACATCGATTTATACTTCAATCTAAAATGATTTTACTTAGTGAACATTACATTTCTATTCTTAATACAATTATTAATTTTACGTTTATCATGTCCACGCATATTTTCGTGTATGCTCCGCTTTCTAAAATTAAATCGCAGTGGGCGTGCTTGTATTCTTCGTACATCTGTGTTTACAACAAAACAGTAAGTAGTAATTTTATTGTGATTACATTTCGTACTACGCTAATAGGGTAATTTGAAACTATTGTATTTTCAAATTTCTTAAACAATAAAACTATTCTATCCCCTTGCATAATCCCATTAATAATATATTATTACCGAGTCCAGGCAGCCCCCGACCAGCCCTTAAGCCAGCTAAAGCCAGAGCCAGCGCTAAACCATAAAAACGATCCCTCGCTGCGCCTTTGCCCCTTTTTGTGCGTGGCATTGGTGGGTGCGGTTCTTGTTAAAACATATTGATACTTGTTGTGTAATTTTAACAGTTTTCGATAGTAGTTGATTGAAATCATTTTGTTAGAAGTTTTGATTAATTCAGTGAAATATAATTAGGCCAGTTCCGTGTAATTTATTTCCTTTTTTTTAACTACCTCACTTCTGGTCGATAATAATATATTATTGCTACTTTTAGACGATAATGACATCTATTTTATAGTAATAGCATATTTTATCACACACTACTTCCTATTCTATATTGAATTTGTAGGTAACAAGTATACACAGCCCATCAAAAATGACCGATTACTGTGATCCATGACGTCAACATAATCAAGCCAGCCTACTGCTAAAAAATTAAAACTAGAGAGCTATTTAAAAGATTAACCAGTCAAATATTTAATTGTGTTATTATATAAATGAACTAGCGACCCGCCCTCGCTTCGCTTCGGAAACATTAAATTTTATTGATAGGCGAGTCCGGCATGTTGCGCGCGGTACGACAATAACTGCGGGTGACGACGCGGGGCGAAGCTAGTCTAAAAAAAGTAACCTAAGTATGTAGTACTCCTTATATCATCAGCTACCTATTAGTAAAAGTCTCATCAAAATTGGTCCAGCCGTTCCAGAGATTAGCCGGAACAAACAGACAGACAGACAGACAGACAAAAATTGTAAAAAATGTTATTTTGGTGTATGTACCGTATATATATTCATATGGATGCAGTGAAAAGCGGTTATTTCAATATTACAAACAGACACTCTAATTTTATTTATGTGTATGGATGATAACTAACCTTCCAAAGTCGTATGAAATACGGCAGGCATGTCGCCATGACGAAGAGACAATACAGCAGCGCGTAGCCGAGGAAAAGCATGAAGAACTTGTAGTTGTGGAAGCAGACGCAGTTGTTCACCCAGGGGCAGTGGTGGTCCATTTTGAGCACGCACCGAGCGCATATGCTGCAGTGGTGAGCTCTATCAGGCTTGACGAGCACACACCGGTTGCAGTAGCGTATCGATCCAGACATTGTCCTGGTGACGAGGGTATTAAATAATTGTGAGACCCGAATCGAATAGATAGCTAACAATTAAAACGGAAAAAAATTGGTCGCGATTTCATTTTTTGTTGTTGTTGTTGTTGAAAAACGATAGATTACATAATATTATATTGTTAGCGGATTTTTTTTAAAGTCGACAAGAAAATGAATTTAATTTTTTATTTCTTGCGATTAGTTCATTTTATATTGAAAACAATTCAATAAGTATACTTGATTAACAAAATTAGTTAATATTAATTAAAATTAAGTCCACATATTATGTGGCCATCTAGCGTTTAATTATGCGTCTACAATCAAAAAGAAAACCAAACGTACACATATGTATGTGCATATGTAAATATGTATATGTCCCTGATGAGCTTAAAAAAATAAAATAATGCAACTAAAATAAAAGTTCTTTGAATAAAATGTGATATTAATTTAATATTACGCAGAAAAAATTAAATTCAAAATTAAAAAATACAACGGTCTAAAACACATCGGACACGGAAAACCCATGGCGGCTATATGAACTGTATCCATTGATAGAATATAAAAAATATTGTATGTTTTAAGGTTTCCTAGCTCTTTATTCGCGGGGTATATGTTCCGTGAATATGCGGCGAATAGAGAAACCGTGAATATGAAAAAGGACAATTACATAGGATATTCGGTTGAATACCAAAATATTGGAATCCTTTTTACCAATAAACATGTACCGATGTACCAATTAAATCTGTGAATAAAGAAATCTTTAGCCACGAGCATACGAATTGGGTCTCATTTTATTTAATCCGCGAATTTTGAAAACGCGTATAAGGAGACTTTTACTGTATTCAAATGTCGGCGAATAACCCCCTAAATCGGAAAAACATATAAGAAGTGAACGACAGCAAAAAAAAACGAAATTGAATCGTAACAGTAGACTTTACTATGCGAAAACCGAAGATAATACCAGGTATATTGTGTTTTAATAACTATGCTTGTAATGAAACACTAACCGAATTTTTAGACAGGCGACCACTACAAAAACTCGGTCTAAAAGCTGTATTAATATGACTTAAACTCCTACATGGTACGATAATGCTTAATGGTCGATCGATTATAAGCCATTAATATGTAGATTGGATATTGACGTTATGATAGTTGTTTTAGCATTGTTATTGGGTCATTGGCTTACTTTTCGCCCGCTCCGAATACTACTAATTTATGTATGGTAGAAAGTTAAATCAATACAAATAATAACATTAACTATTAGTTGTATATGAATTGTGTTAAAACTATTGTGGTTTTATAAATAGAAAATAATGAATTTCCATGTTTTTTTTTTGGTTGAGTTATTAATTTTTCCACGTAATCCCAGAAAATGAACTAGAAATAGGGTAAATAGATTTTTTTGCTTCTTATATGTTAACCACAGTTTTCATTTTACCCATGGTGATCATAGCAATTGTAACGGTGCTAAAATAAATGTCAAAATTGTGTAAACCTCGACAAAAACAAGTTTATGCAATAAGAGTACCTACATTCATTATAAATACTTAAGTAATAAATAATCCTTAAACTATTCAATTAATTTTGTCAGTTGAAGTTTTAAGACGTAACTAGATTATGACCTATTTATTTGTCTTTGCCTCGCTTGTAATAAAAAGGTCAATTGCTATCGCTAGAACTATTGAATTGTGTTGAAAACATGAAGAATCTATATAGTACATAAATTAAGTCTCATTATTCTACTTAATTACAAGGAAGCTATTCTTTTTTTACAGGATCTTTTAAAGATCTGACCTACGGAACGGGTCTGGGAGTATTCAGTGTTTTTACAATATTTTGTACAGTATACATAATTGTAAAAATAGCTTTCTTGTTACTTTAGTTGATAGCGAGGGTTTTTTTCGTTACTTTACTACCTGGTAGCTATAAAAAAGGACCCCGTTCTCAAGATAGAAAATAACCAAGCTTTCTTAGACTCTGCTGGAACTGAAAATTTCGACTGTGCTAAAATTATGCAGTTCCGCGGGGTTCTGGGATCTAACTGTATAGAGATGTTTTTTAATTCAATATTCATCGCTATTTTAGGATCGGCGTTACCATTCGGGATCGTGGGTAGATTTTACGTTAAGGAAACAGTTAGCCAGGATGACTATCCTAAGTACTTGACTGTACTGACCGAGGGTATCGATTGCCCGAAGAGAATTATCGAAAGGAAGTTCCTACAACTACTCAAACGAAAGGAAAGCTTCGCGTCGAACTCCCCCTTTGAATAGACATACCCGAGCTCTTCGGAAAGATAACTTTAATGCGCCATTTGCTGAAGCATTCCGACTGCGCTCTAAAGATTTATCGTGATGAAGCACTTGTTCTTACTAGAATAATCTAAAAAGAGAATAAACTATAGAAAAATAAAAAGTTTCATTGATGAGGAGGGTTAACTGGGTCGCGGGACTTATAAGTAGAGGGGTGAGAGCTACGGTCGGGGAGTGGAACGTGGTCCTTCGACTCGATAGCGAAAGAAATGATTCAATAAGAATCCTCGCAAGATGAGTAGGTAATTTGCCGGCACGCCAATGTCGTATTATTGGGATACCAACTACATATAGGTATTGCGATATCGAAGAGGAGGGTTTCTGTTGAACCCTGATAGAAAGCGTTCCATGAGGCGGTGGTGCACTTGTCGAACAAGTATTTGGAGCGGAAGGTGTTTGTACCAAAAAATAGCATTACAGCTTTTAAAAAACATTACAGCTACCTTCGGCTGGACCGATTTGGCTAATTTTGGTCTTGAATTACTTGTGGGAGTCCAGAGAAGGTTTAAAAGGTAGATAAATATGAAAATTCTCGGAATTAAATAAAAATAACAATTTTGTTTTCATCAAATTCCTTTGATGTGTCCCCCGTCGGACGGATTCCTTTTGTTTGTTTTAAGTTTATTTTATACAAAACTTTAGGTCTTTTATTTATCGATTGAGGCAATACGAAGTCTGCCGGGTCAGCTAGTCTTTAATAAAAATTAGTAATTAATTATTGTGTTAGAACATTGTTTAAATCAGTATTTACAGACTTATTACAGTATTACAACTAGACTCCCATGTTTCCATTATTTTATATTTATCGCTAAAATAAACAAAAAAAAAGATAATTCAACTCGAGATTCCAATACTAGTTACCAGAATACCAAACTTACAATGTGACTAAATAAAATATACATCTCAATTCTAGATCTACAGAATTTTGATGAATATCAGACCTCGTTAAAACTGGTAGAGTATTAGCAAATGTTTCTAAGATAGTTTTTTTGCTTTCCGCTTTAAATAGACGCTTGCTGAATTTCCTTATTGTCATTGTCAATCTAGAATTGAGAGACAGATGTTTTAATGGATGTGCGATGTTGGCTTAGAATGGCATAACCTAATCCCGTGTTTTTTTAATTTCGTTTTATTGCCTAGATGTGTGGACGAGCTCACAGCCCACCTGGTGTTAAGTGGTTACTGGAACCCATAGACATCTACAACGTAGATGCGCCACACACCTTGAGATATAAGTTCTAAGGTCTCAGTATAGTGTCGTAAAAGACAAGTAAGGGATTCACGATGGAGAATGAGCAGTAGCGTTCTCTGAGCATTATTGCAGGATACTACGATCGGTAATACTTGCTGTATGCGCTGTATTGTAAAATTTGCACCACCATCCTGCTTATATCGTGCCTTCAAGCCGCGAAGGCCCGGAGAGCTGTTATAGAATAAAACTAAGACCTCGGCCGTCATCTCTCTCAGTCGTTCACTATGGGTCCGGTTACAACTTTACATCAGGTAGAACGTGAAATAGTTCAACGCATTTTTTTTTAAAAAGCGTATGTTAATGGCAATTCGTACTACCCAGACGGCCGACGTTTTTCAGAACCTTCGATTCGCCTCGAAGGCTCCGTCGGCCGGACGTCCTTGGGGTGAGCTGCACCGGTTGTAGTGTTGACCGCGGTAACCACTTTATCTCATCCGGGTTCTGACCTCGGAGGTGATTGGACGCTTGGACGAAGAGCGCAGGGGAGTCGTTTGGTAGGTAGGGTCCTAAAGCATTCTTGGGACCGCGGTTTGCAAACACGGACCAGACCCACATACTCCTTGCGCTCCCTAGGCGCGGGGACCTCGAAGGAGGTTCGGCAATGCGTACATACGTACATTGAAATGCAATACATGTAACTATGTAGTGTTAAATATATTTCTTAAGCTAAATAAATTGTCTTGTTTCAAATACTAAAGTTTAAATGACTCACACTGTTGACCTTAAATATTGTGGTTTTGAGTTTCATTTAATATATTATCACAGACAATCAAAGATTAATTTATCGTTTTTGATAATAAATTATTATTAATATTTTCTTGTGTGAAACCTCAAAATCAGAAAGTTTATTTATAAGTTTTTGTAACATTCAATTTGCTAATTGAAAATAAAAATAAATTCTTCCAAAAAATCTCTCTTGTGTTTATATAAGGGCAATAATCTAAAGCAGTCTTTCTCAAAGTGGGCGATAACGCCCCCTGGGGGGCGTTTGAAACCTAGAGGGGGCGTTAAGGGGCTCAGGAAAAAATGGGGGGCGTTGATGTGGGTTAGGGGGCGCTGTAAAATTTGTAATTTCATTTACTTTATAGTATTTTAAATTTTACTAAAATTAAAACCCACCTACTACACAATAACGAATAATTAGTTTATATTTCTACCCTGTATGATGTTATAAAAACTTTAAATAGTTAACATAGATTTCGTAGGATAAGCCCACACACCGTACGCAATCAAGTTGTAACAAGTTTCTGCGGAACATGATCGATGATAGTTAAAAAATTAGAGCAATTTTACCTTAATTACATTGAAGAAATTATTATAAGCATTAGAAAAAAAACTACCATGCAGAGTTTTAAAATATTACACATACGTAAACTAACACAAATTGAGGTTTTCTTTACTTTCTTTCTTGTTTTTAACATAAGGGCATTTTAAAGC